TTCGTTGCTCGTACTGGAAGTTGGGATCCATTCATAATTTGGATAGTTGATCCTCGTTATGTAAAGGGTAAAGATGATCATCCTCCACAGCAGCCAGCTAACGCAAATTTCCCCCGTCCACCACCTGCCGCCATTAAATCAAATAATGGGAATCCCATCCCAATTCATTACAACCAGCCTATAGTCCTGCAATGCTTAACAACCGGAATGACAAGCCCAACTATGATTATTCGTAAAGTGGACAAAGGTAGCATGGTTATTGGAGGTGGCATCCTTGATTCTAATGGGCATGGTGAAGCTGAAGAAGGTTTGTTACTTACAATTATAATAATGATTCCTATACATTATTATGCAGTGGTTTGTTAAGGAATTATCCTTTAAATAGCTTTAGGTGATCCGGTTTCACAACTTCACAAAGTTGCGTTTCAAATTAAGGATACCAGCATATCTTCTTCACCTTCAACCTCTCCGACATTTCAACCACCAAACAATCAACATCTCCCCGGGCCTGGCACATATCTCGCTTGCCTAGGTGATGTTGTAGGAATGCAACGTGCGAACGAAGGCCGAAAAATAATGACCCAACCTTCGACTGTACCAATTAATTCCAATTTCTTGGACATGAAGACTAATTCTCCAATTCCTTCGCCCACTGACATTTCATCCGCAGTTGCAGCGTGGGCATCTCCTACGGATTTTTCCATGGATTCAACTACATTGCCCGAGTCTGCTGTGGTTACTGCTGAAGGTGGAAAAGTTATTCGCAAGCGGCGTGTTTCCTCATCAGTGGTGGTTAGGCCTACTACAGCACTATCTAAAGCTGCATTGACAAAGAACAGGAGGAGGGTAAATAGCTTAAGTGGTGTAGCAAGTGAGGTTGATCTTGCGAAATTCGCCAGCGTCAGAAATTCTGTTGGTCATCGGCACCACGACAATGCTGGTGCTTTATGGACAGAGGATGTAACCGATGCTGCTGTATGGACGATTGTTGGAACTGGTTCGTAAAACGTTAACATTAATCTCAACTTTTGAACCCTTATAAACCACTGACTCCAATTTTATTATAGATTGTGCATCGTATACGTTTTATTCTCCACAAAACTTAATTTCCGGATCAATGAGTCCATCTCACCATCTTTCATCATTATCGCTGCCCATGCCAGTAACTCCATTACCAAGTATTTCAAACATTATTAGCACTACGTCATCATCATCCTGTTCAATTCCTACATCACAACTTCAGCATTCAACAACTCCAAACACTATAACTATATATGGTGATAACTTTACTCGAGATTTGATGGTATGGTTTGGAGATGTTCCAAGCCTGAAAACAGAGTTTAGGTCTAAAGACTGTCTGGTGTGCTGGTTACCAGAAGAGTTGATGTATGAAATAGAACATAATAATAATATTAAGCGGGACATTTCTGGTCTTCAAGGCCGTCATCTTCATTGGATCCCTAACGGAAGGATGAGCATGAGCGGTAGACCAATTTTACTAAGTCGTAACGATGGTGTAGTGTTTAAAACAGGAAAAGTGTGGCCTTAATTTATTCCTTTGTTCAATCTTAAATGAAATATAACGAGCGGGTACTTAAAAAAAAAAAAAAAAAAAATAGAAAAAAAGGAAAAAAATAAGAAAAAAGAGGAAAAAAGAATGAGATTTATTTCATTGTTGGACGTTTCCTCATTCTCTATTTTCCTTATTTCGTGTCAATTTTCTCTCGATATCGATTTTTCTTCCTAAAAAATTCGAACATTTAGTCTTATTATATTGCGTACTTCGACTTATTAACCTCTCGAATTTTTTTTTTTTTTTATTTGTGAATACATATATATCTTTTCTTTTTTGTAGTTATTTTTTTCTTCAATTCGTGAGGTTTTTTTTTCATACAACACAACACAACGAAACTACATAATATAAAAATATATGAACCTTGGTTTAAATACCAAAATTTATTAAGAGGAAAATCAACTAAT